ACAATACTACCGACAGGGCAGGGGGCACTACCATCCCGCTCACAAAAGCTTAGATAAAAAGCAATTACTTAACAGGCGCCTTTTACAAACGCACACTTTCCCAAACCCAGTGACGTTCAGTGGCCTGTATCCTGATCTATATACAGCAGATTGTAAATTATGCGCAGGTAGGCCCGATCTTCACCACATTATGAGGGCGTGCCCCTTAATAAATTCCCAAAAAACACTAGCTCATTACCTTCCCTTTGCATTACCGCCCTACAGCAGTAGGAGACTGCACTGCTTAGCTCAGACACGGATCTCCAAGTCCAGGTCGTCCAGATGGCCGGAAACGCCGCCAAAATCCGGGGCCTGGCCGCCGCATGGGGAAGAAGACGACCCCTCTTACTCCCCTCCTTACCAAACCCCATCTCGGAAAAAAATTAAGTTTACTACTACTATACTTCTTAGCGAGCTGCAAAACACACGGTGCAGCTTATTTCGGGACAATATTTTTATTTTATTTAGTAAGGTGGAGTTTATATTAATGTCATCAATAAACAACCTGCGCACCATGAAGACAATACATGGTAGGGCTCTGGGCTCGAAGAAGCTCAAACGATTCCAATATCTCAGAATAAAAGGAAAATGGTAAGCAACGGCGCTTGCTCAATTGAGGAATTCCAAGAATTGTGATGTAATAGGACATCCATAAAGTGGAGCGCACCTCACGATTAAGTAATTAGACATTTGTTTTCGGTGTTAAATGGTGCTTTTAATGTATGTTTTGTCGTTCTCGACGCTGGCGTTGACCGACATAATGCCGCTGCTAATGCTACTGTCGAGGTGAGTACTAGTGTTCACACGTTGTCACGTCTCTCTATCGCGCTATAGTGTCGTGTTTGTGACGCGCATGCAGTCTAGAGTTAACTGTTTTGAATGTAAGTGCACATGTCATCAGTGTAGACAGAGCAACGACGCAGCAATCGCGATACGAGCGCCGACTCTGCCTCGATCTGGCCGACCGCGCTCGCTCTCCGGAAAGGTGAGCGTGAGTTCTCGAGCGCCGTTATCTTGCTGATGTTGCAGGACGCTGCTTCGTCGTCGAGAATACGCTACCTTGTCCACGCCTTCAAAGCCTATCCAGTGCTCGGCGCACCGCCCGCGAACTATCGTAACCTTCCTGGTGTCATTTAGCAGTCTGCGAGTGCCGGCGGTTCATCGTCGCGACTTAAATGCGAGTATATTATGAACAACCGTGAACTAGGAACCCCCGCGACGATGAACCGCCAGAGCTTACAAACTGAAGGTTGCGATGCTGCGCGAAATATAGTTGAAAGGCGCTACAAAAGATACGTCGAGCGCTGAACCGGCTTTGCAGGTGTTCGAAGGTCAAAGTATTTGTGACGACAAAGCGGCATCTTCCATTTTCAACAAGATATAACGGTGGTTCAGAATCTCACGCTCACATTTCACTGGAGCCAGCGCGGTCGGTCAGATCGAGGTGCAGTCGCCCTAGCTCCCAGTTGCTTCGTTGTTGCTATGCCTAGAGTGATGACATGCGCACTAACATTAAAAGGACTCTCTCGAGACTGCATGTGGGTCATACAGGCGTGCCCGTGCCACCGCTCTGTACTTCAGTGTAAAGCGGGCTTATCGCGTAACGGAACAGCCGTTTGATTGAATCGGATCAGTTTGCCCATTCCCAAGCACCGCTTGTGTAAACTGGCCACCCGTTAGAGAAAACGGGTGTCACACTATAAAACGAGTGACCCGTTTGCCCAAACAAGTGATCCCTTTATTCGAAAAAATGACCTATTCGCCCAAACGGGTGACTAGTATGGAATAAACGGGTGACCGGTTGGTCTCAAGCGGGTGACCCGTTTAATAAAAGGGTGACCGGTATGGCTAAAGAGTTACCGGTGCGAACAAGTTTATTTTCGTGCATGGGCCAATTCTTTTTTTTTTCGTAGGAGTGTGTTACCACTAAAACCGTTAGGAAGTGCCTGAGCATTCTAATAGGCACTGGATGATTGATATTATTAGTATTAATATTATTATTATTATTATTATTATTATTATTATTTCTTAACTTCTTCGATTTTCATGAAGACATGGGCACCGCGATTTTAAAGCTGTAAACATTCGAAACATCAATAAAAATTTGCGATTTTTTTTTAATTTTTAAAGTATTTACGTTGAACAAAATCAATTAATTAAAATGTAACATGACAAACTCACAAAATAAACACAGTTCTAAAGAAGATTGAGACCGGGAGCCATTAATAAAGGCTAGCACAAACAAAATATGCCTCTTTTCTTAGTTATGTCCGTATATATTAAATCTAACAATCCTTACGTAAGAAATACTGTTTTTTTTTATTCAGAATATTAGCCGGTAGCATCTCGCACAATAGATTTCTGTTTCATTCCATCTCTCTTGTAGGACTTGTGAAAACTACTACATTCAAATCGGCCTTCTTCTGACGTCATAGAATGAGTTTTGCGAGATCGCATCTATGACAGCTGTGAGGTCGGGTCCCACCTGCAAACGCGTAATACCTACGAGCGAAGCCCGCTTCTGATGCTGTCTCCGACTTCTTAGAAAACCTCTTTTATATCGGTTCTTTTTTTGTTTGTGCTTTTCAACAGCGACATGTATGGGTACTTATCTCCTTCTCGTACGTATTTTTGAGATGTTTTTTACCTCAACCATGCAACGGGTAGGACAAATTTATCCCTCAGTGCGCAATTTATTAATCTGAATTCTACGTTTATGGGGGCGCTTTCTTGAGACCGCACAAAATAAATGGCATTTAATACGGAAGTGCTTGTGGAAACCTACCATATTATATAGACCCAGTTTGGCACGTGTGCTTTCAGAGAGATACGCAAAATATGAGGGATGAGACATAACAGATGTTATGTCTCATGTTAGGGGATACGGTGTTATTTTTGTACAAGCGTGTGGGTAAATTCCAAGCCGGGATTTCTTTTATTTTTATTTTTATAGATAGCTTCTTGACGCTATGACGCTTTATTAAGAAGTGCTGCGGTACCATTTCAGGGTTTATATTTATTATAAATTTTAGATGTTGGTGTTTCAATGCGGGGCGCGTGACAAACATTCCTTTTTTGCTTTATGAGTTAATTACCAACAATTTCAGGATATTGTATAAGACATGTGTCCCAATTATATCAGTTTCGCGCGTTACAAAGATTAGCTACCGACGTCAAGTGACCGAGACGTCTTGACGTGATGGGGTTTAATTATTCTATGAAGCCCTGCGCGTAGGTCCTGGAGCGCGATGGTCATGTACGCCTCGACGCCAAAATTTTCGCCTTGGTAACTGAAAAAAAGGATGATATAAGAAGTTGTGTAGCAGCTACATGTAAGCTAAGGCATTTGGAATGCCCGTTTATATTCAGATACATACAACAGTTGTTTTTCTCAGCACGTAACTATTCTGGTCTGTATTTGTTTATTTGTTTATCTTTAGTGACCAACGACCAGCTTTACGCCTTCTTAGTGGTGCACTAATCAATGTCAGATACTAGGATAATTGTGCGGACAATATAAAGAAATGGAAAGATACGGGAAAACAATGGTAGCAAAACACGTTATAAATTTCCACTTTTCTTCAAAAATGTCTACGCTAACATTCTCACAAATGTGTTCTAAATAAATATACGTCAATTAATGACATGTCATGGGTGCTGCGTGATATAAATAAGAATGATAAAAGAAAGAATGACGCCTACAAGACCTACGAGGAACGCGCAAGTAGACGTGACTTAGTAATACTAGTGTATCTATTATACCATGTACGATCTTATGCTCCAACATCAATCCACGGATCGTTCTCCTATTGTGCAACTTGCTAAACTCCATGAGGTCACAAATCCTTTCGTAACAGCATAGATAATAGGCTCAAAATAACGACAAAACAATCCCCGGATGAATTTTTGATGAACACGCTCAATTACATGCGAATTAGTCACTCCAATACAGTAATAGCGATTTGAGGCACATTCGACAGGAAAACGCACAATTTAAAAAAAAGCGTAAAAAACAAAATGCAAAAAAAAAAAACACTGCGTGTTATTCAGGTAATGGAAGCACTTTTAAAGAAGCGCTCGCTATTGTAGTTATGTGAGCATTAAAATAAATCTCAGTATCCATAAAAAAACTTCCAGATCTCAGATTACTTCAACATGAATAACATCGGTAGAATCTAATATATATGGAAAACTCATAATTTCACGTTTTTTTTTTAAAAAACATATATTTCGTTTTAGAATCTTTTAAGATAGGTACATTTGAAAAACATCACGCCTTGAAGAATCACGTCACGTCTTCGAGACAAGATTCTTGCCTGTTAGTCAAAATTCGACGTTATTTATAAATTGTGCGGAAACCTATTCTATAAAAGGTTTATTTTGACTTTTAAAATAAGCAGCAATCTAAACATGAATTTAAAAAATCGAAGCTAAAAGTGCTATAGGTTTCCTCGTAGGATAATATAAAAAATGCGTAATTGCCGGCTTGAATTGAATAGTTTCAGTTTATATAATGAAATTTGTTCACCAGTCTCTTCCGTTTCATGTCTGTGGATGTTTTTTTTTAATGCTCCTGGCATGACTTGACATAAACATTGCAAACGTGTACAAGAAGTTGCGATAATAAATTTATACTAGTAGGACATTCTTATTAACACCAGATACAACATTTCCTTGACTTCTTAAGTTAAAACAAGTCTTTATTATGTAAACATGTTTTCAAGCACTTGCCCAAAAAATAGGTCTCTACGAGATGTCACGCGACGAACTTGACGAACCCAAACATGCGCTCACCGTGCCTTTTTCGCCTGCAGGTTGGTACAATTTACATTGGCTACCTTCCTAGAACTTGTCTTTGCCTGCCGGCTCCACCCAAAGACCTGTTTTTGATGGCATGTGCATGTTGTAAGCACCGCCACGTTGTGTTGCGCCGTAGGCGGTTTTTTTCTCGCTGGAGAATAATGTTCCTCGTTTTGTTGCTACTACTGTCGGGTGACGTCGAGCTAAACCCAGGTCCACCGACGAAAGCTGAGCAGATGACAAAAATAGAAACTATGCTCGAAGGGCTAACGGTCAGTATGGCCAATGTTACGATTAAACTTTCTACCATAGAGAGTAAACAAGAAGAATTTGAAAAAAAGCTTGACAACTTACTTAAAAGTAATGACCACTTGGAAAAGCGTGTTGCTAATTTTGAGGACCAGAACAAAAGGATAGAGGAGCATATCGATGACCTCGAAAACCGCAGCCGCCGGTGCAATCTTGTGTTTTACGGCATACCCGACGGAAAGCGCAATGAAACCTGGGAGGAATCAAAGAACCATGTGGTACAAGTTTGCAATGATATCATGGAAATCAATCCTACTACGATTCAGAGGGCGCACAGGATCGGTTACTTTAAAGATGGTTTCAAGAGACCAGTTATAGTAAACTTTATGTCTTGGACCGAAAAGGAAGATATTTTACACTCTGGATTTAAATTTAAGAACACCGACTTTAGTGTATCCGAAGATTTCAGTAATTCACTTCGCGAAAAAAGACGTAATCTATGGAGCCACTCTAAACAAATAAGGCAAGATAAGAGCAACAAAGTGCATCTTTCATATGACAAGCTAGTTGTGAACGGCGACGTGTTTATCTGGGACGCTGAGCGAAAGGAGGCAGTCCCTGTGCGCAGAAAGAGAGGTACAAGGCCACAACAATGACACAGCCCTTTGACCAAAAATGTTCTAAGTCCATCAATATCGTCGAACGTTCTTTCCACTGTTTTGTTGCTAAACTGCCGTAGCCTTAAAAATAAAGTAGACGATTTCTTTTGCCTTGTAGAATCAGTAAAGCCGAGTATTATCATGGGCACTGAGTCATGGCTCGATGAATCCGTGCTGGACAGTGAAGTATTTCCTGGTGGCTTCTCTGTCTACCGTAAAGATCGACACGCACATGGCGGAGGGGTATTTTTATTAATAGACTCAGGATGGGCAAGCAGTCAGCTCCTTCTACCACACAATAACACAGAGTCTATTTGGTGCCGAGTTCAACTATCCAAAGGAGGCACTCTAGTCTTGGGCACCTACTATCGTCCCCCAACCATAAACGATCTAGATGAGCTTAGTCATGTACTATCTTCGATTCCTGATAGCTCTGTTGTTCTGGGAGGTGACTTTAATCTTCCTAACGTCGATTGGACGAGTACATCCTTTTGCACCGATAACTCTAGATTATATAAGGGTTTTAACGACCTTATTATTTCGTTTTCTCTTAAACAATTTGTTCTCTCACCAACAAGAAATAATTCAATTTTAGATTTGTTATTGACCAATAACCCAAGCCTTATGTCTAACGTCACTGTAATTCCTGGTATTAGCGACCACAGTGCCGTTGTCTGTGATTTGTCACTGAATCAGACTCATAAGACGGCAATGCCGCCACGAAAAATCATACTGTACGAGAGAGGTGACTACGAAAAAATTTCTCATGAACTTTCAGTTTATTTTCCTCACTTTTTAAACTTGAGCATCGAGAGTGATGTTGAACATTTGTGGGATGTTTTCAAACAAAAGATTACGCAACTCGTGAACTCTTACATACCATTCAGGATTCATACGAGAAATAAGAGACATAAACCATGGATTACTCTTCCAATTCGAAAACAAATAAAGCGTAAACGTAGAGCTTTTAAGAAGTATCGTACAAATCAGTCTGAGAGTGCTAGGCAAAAGCTGGAAGACATATCCCGAGACCTTAAAAGAAATATACAGAAAGACAAAACGACCTTTTTCGACTCTTTTCAAGATAAACTCAAGAATGATCCCAAAGAGTTCTGGAAGTTTGTGAAAGTAAATAAAAAAGAAGATACCTCTGTTCCTGGTTTGTTGCAAGATGGCAAGTTAGTAGACGGCGACTTAGCAAAAGCAGAATATTTCAATTCATATTTTAAGTCAGTTTTTTCGCCTCCTGCACCTAACTATGTCCGTCCCTTGTCTGACCAGACCACAGGAGCGGCTATGGCCGAAGTGAATGTCGTAGTAGATGGCATTAAGGCCTTATTACAAGACATTGACACGTCAAAAGCGTACGGACCAGACGAAATTTCACCCGTAATTTTTCACAATTGTAAGGAAGAAATAGCGGAGTACCTTCAAGTAATGTTTACAAAATCATTAAACACTGGTTTAGTTCCGACTGACTGGAAAAGAGCAAATGTTACTCCAATTTTTAAGTCTGGGTCAAAGAATCTAGTTGAAAATTACCGCCCGGTTTCACTTACATGCATTGCTTCCAAGATATTTGAACACATTTTATATAGTTCAATATATAGTTACCTAGACTCTAGTCATTTCTTTTCTTCCTGCCAGCACGGATTTCGTCGAGGTTATTCATGTGTTACACAGCTTGCAGAATTTACCCATTTCGTTTCAAGTACCATAGACAAAAGACAGAGTGTTGATTGTGTATTCTTAGACTTCCGCAAAGCTTTTGATACCGTGCCACATCATCTATTGTTAAACAAACTTGTATCTCTGGGCATCAATGATAAAATTGTCAACTGGGTTGCTGACTATCTTACCGATCGCGAACAAACTGTAGTACTTAATGGTAAAATATCTTCGCCAGTGATTGTGACCTCTGGAGTACCACAGGGAAGTGTGTTAGGGCCCTTGCTATTTCTTATATTCATTAACAGTATTTGTGAGAATATACAGTCTCATATTAAGTTATTCGCAGACGACTGCATAGTATATAAAATTATTGAAAATTGTGTGGATGCCAGTGTGCTTCAAAACGATTTAAATGTGCTTGAAGACTGGTGTGACCGTTGGGAAATGAGCTTAAATATCTCCAAGTGCAAACACATGTGTTTTTCTCGCAGTACATCTTACCCGACCGAATACAAACTGAAAAATGTGATACTTGACCGTGTAGAAAATTATAAGTACCTGGGAGTTCATTTGTCGTCCAGTTTGAAGTGGAATGATCACGTGGATAACACTGTTGCTAAAGCTAGTAAGATGCTGTATTTTATTCGCAGGAATTTTAAAAATACGTCTCGCAATGTGAAACAAACATTATATTTTTCTTTCATTCGACCAATTTTAGAGTATGCTTGTGTCATCTGGGACCCACCACAAATGTACCTTGAAAAAAAGTTGGAACGGGTTCAAAGCCAGGCATTACGGTTCGTTACAGGTGATTACAGCCCTTATACAAGTTGTACAAAAATGAAAAACGCTTTAGGTTGGGATTCACTCAAAGAGCGAAGAAAGTGCTTGAGATTGAAATTCTTTCACAGCATATATTACGGACGGACTGGTATTGAAAGAAGTCTCTACATTTTTGAACCACACTATGCATCTGTCAGACGGGATCATTCTAAAAAAGCCGAGGAATTTCGTTACAATACTGACTGTTTTTCATTTTCATTTTTTGTTCAAACCATTCGAGAGTGGAATACACTTAGGGAAGAAATTGTGTCTATTACTGATAATGATCTCTTTTATGATAAACTGCAAATCTGTATCCGCGGTTAATAATGTGTTTTATTGTTCCGTTTATCTATTGTATGAATATCTATTGTTATTGCATAATATGTTTCCTGTACCCCCCTGTATAATGCCTAACGGCGCTGCAGGTATTCATGTGAAAAAAAAAAGTGAATGAATGAACAGTGTGTGAGATTTTTATTTTTTTTCTATCTCATACAAGACGTGCAGAAATAGAATAGTACACTCTGGCAAAGCTTTACAAGATTATTTTGGACGATTGTACTGTGGTACCTTGCGCTTCAGAACTGTTTTTGTATTATAAGGCATGAAGCCAAATGTTAGAAATTAAAACAATTATCCAGGCCGCGGCGATAGCTTGGTTGTGTTATCTATTGACTTCGGAGTGATTTCCACTAAAGCCGAGCGAGGGTGAAAATAAAAACATTGTAAGTAGAAGTGGTACACTCATGGTCGAATGAAATACGAACAAGGGAATGGTGACCGAATGCTATCTAGGGCGCCTCATTATGGCGGATATTGGCAATTCTTAAAGCAAGAGACCGGCTTATTCTGTTTTTATCCATCGTGAAAAATCTTATATCTGCGATTAACCGCAAATGGCATTGCGTTATTTTGTGCTCTTGAATAGTCAGCTGCGAGAATTATTCCGCTTCTTTATAGAAGTTCAAGCAGCGCGTCGGGACCAGCCGCTCTGCGGGACCCGAGTATTCCCATACAAAAATGTCCTATGGTCGGTTAAAGAACACTATCTGTATGGTCGGCTTTAGCTATTTGGCCCAATTGGCTACATTTTCGTGGCTGTCTTTAGTTATATTTATGGTCATCTTTATATGCTTCTTTAGCTTTGTATATGGCGCTTATTACTGTCGAGCCATAGCGCTCTTTAGCTTTTCTTATGGCTAGCTTTCTACAGCCAGCATGTCAAAGCTGCCTATGGTCATTTCCTTTGGTATCTTTAGCCATTTCTATGGTCTGCTGAAGAAGGCTGGTGGATACTTTTATAGCTCTCTTTAGCCAGCACACTCTAAAATTATTTTTTTCAAGTATGTACATTGTAGATACAAATACATCACTGACCACACAGAATACACACAAGCATAACACTCCTGGAAACAACAGCAACAACGCAGCGACACCTGATTCCCACCCCTCTCTACGTACGCCAAGTTCCCGCTATCTCTATATATGACAGTCTTATTTTTGAATCCGACTTGGCCGGTGAGTCGTATAAACACGGAGAGGTTGTGGGAGTAAATCTCCCACAACCTCTCCGTTTTGTCCTTGTCTTTTTCGGCGCTTTTAATTATATAAAGAACCATGAACCAACTGGCCCAACTTTCCACTTCGCTGTCTCATTCGGGCCTTGGCTTCCCGATCGAAGCAGGTCTTCGCCCCTTTACCGTCGACGTTGGATGGTAAGCGTCCGTCAGAGACTCTCTTTGAGCAGTTTCCAGTTTGTGATCGCCTTTTCGTGGATTTCGGACCCGTGTCGCGCACTTCCCTCAAGGAAAAACAACATTCGGCAGAGACACCTAAGACTACTTACGTGTAGGAATTCGAAAGCGTTCCTACACGCAGCGTATTCCTACAAACGGCATGCTACGCCTTCCCTTTTCAAACGGCGCGCCGGCGGTGACATCACGCTCCCCCACTGCGCAGGCGCGGCGCACCCGCAGGCTCCACGGCTTCCGTGGCGATGCATCTGCGTTGCTGTGATTTTCTTTGTGTTTTATTTCTGAGGCGCGTCCGTGCTGACCTTGAGCGCCGGCCGACTTTCTTGACGAAGCATATGATATGACGCGTCGCAGCCAATGGGAAATCCGCTTGAGGGTGCCGTTTTCTGCTACAGACGGTTACAGACAACGCCGGCTTCGCTCCACGGTACAGTTAATGCTTGCGCATTAATAGATGTTCTGTAGGAACTTGTGCGACGTCCACTCGTTCGCACTTCTGAATCCAGTCATAACGCCATCGCAAATATCACCGCGGAATGAAGCAGATTTCCGAGTGTCAACGGGAAGGTAGACGATGGTGGCGGCGGCAGGGGTCTGCGACGATCGTTTGCTCAATGTCGGCTTCGTCGACTGGTATGTCTTTTCCGGTAGTAGACCAAATTCCGGGGCAAACCTTGAACACACTGGCTTTCTCGGACCTCGGTCGTTTCCACGGACGGTATTCTTGAGCCGGGAACTGGGTTTGTG